AAATTTATGTAAGGAAATGTTCGTGGTTTCCGTGAAATGGTTGGACTATACAGTGAAAAATTTAGCTTGCAGATTATTGCAGGACTAGTAAAATCAGATGGAAGGAAACAGAATTGAGTAGAGTTCAGAACTCTTTGTTATAATGACCTTTCTGGCATCCACATGCAGCTCAAAAAATATTTTCGGCTGTTATAATTTTGGACTGAGAAATTTGTTTAGTTGATAATAGGCTAATAGCTCTGTATTCTGGATTTAAGTAAGAAAACAGGCAAAGTTGCTCTTTTAGCTCAATTGTAAATGGATGATGACACCCTGTGGAAATTTATAAGTTTACTTTATTAAATTAAAAAAAAGGTATAATGGCTTTGCATTTGCAATCTTAAACTTGTTACATGGGCGCTGATACCTTTTACATAATATCTCCTTTTTTAAATATGTAGTAATTTTTTTTTAATCATTGCAACATGTAAGAGATGAACAAATTTTATGAGGAACTCATGTTAGAGGAGAGAGAGAGATATATAAAGAGAGACCCATGTGATAAGGAGAGAGAGAGAGAGAGAGAGAGACTCCATAGCCAAATTTAGTAATGTTGCAGTTAATATGCAACTCTTTCTTATGGTCTGCAACTTCTAACAAGGGAAGTGTTGTTAAAAAAAACACTGGGGAAGCATCATGCCCTTCTGTCCAATTAGTATCAAAGTTATGTCAAGATTTTTTTGAAAGGAAACTAATGTGAAGTTTTAAGTTAAGATATTACGTAGTAATGTTTATGGTTTGCGTAGAAGTAAAAGAAAAAGGATTTGAAACTGCTGTGGTTCTTTCAACTGATAAAATTTCTGTTTTAAATTGTTCTTTCTACTATTATTGTTTTTAAATGTATTTATGTCTTGAAGCAGAGGCGGCGCATAATTACGCATGCAAATGCAAAGAGTAAGAGTGAGAAGTTCCCTCCACCACACCAGGATGGAGGGCTCGGATACCCCTTGGGTGCTTCGCAGCACATTGATCCTGCAAACATCCCAGCTGATATTCCTTACAGTTCCACATCATTTACATACTCTAAAGGGGCAGGGCAACATTGGTCCGGTCCATTGGTGGACCCTGCTTCTGCTGGGGGCCCAAGGCGAAAGAAAAAGAATGTTGTTGAGGGTAATGAACCCAAGTCAACAGGCCGAAGAGATATCAGTAGTTCTCGAGCTCGAGGAAAATGAGTCCAGGATAGTGAGAACACATTCAGCCCTAGTTCTTGAAGCTTGAAACTGGACCCTTTATTCTGAGGTTTTTCAGTGGCCAAGCTTTTTTAAGGTGCAAACATATATGTTCATCATGAGAAGGCTGGTGAAGTGTATTTAGAGGTATAATTGATTTTTATTTCTTTTTTTGAAGTTTTTTTGTTAAAAGAAAAAAAAAAAAACTTCCCCAATGTTAAAAGAAATTTTCCGTGTACTATGTGCTGGAATGCGGGGAAGTTCCCTCCTCATGTGTAATTTTACCCTCCTTTTATTATAGAGAGATCTCTATTCTTTGAGAACTGATGTGCGTTGATTGTTTTGGATATTACAGTACAATTTTTGCCACCCTCTGTCAGCCATGTTATTTTTCCAAGTTTCTTATTATCGGGTTTCTTGTTCCTCTTGTAGCTAAGGCGAAATTGTATAAATGACTGAATTATACATGGACTACTCTTTAATCTCTATGGCGACAGCGACTATATCTCCAGACATGTATATTGAGAATTTGTAGGGGTTTGCATTGTACGTGGCTTAATCATATAAGTAACTGAATAACTCACATTTGTAACATACCAAAATAAAATGTGTTTGCTCGTGTTGGTTGACATTTGCCAAACTCTAGTTGAGCACTTGAGTAATGCATGCACGTTGATGTTGCAACAATAAAATTATTTTTGTGTGCTTGTGAAATAGCGTTGAGAAGAGTACATTTTAAATCTGTGTTTTTGAATTTCCTTAGGAATTTCATGGCACTTGAACTTTCTAATAGTATAGAGCAGATCAAGTTAGTTGCTATCATCACATTTGTCACGAAACATGATCGTATGTCATTTTTGTTCAGTATTAGATGCTTAATCGTTGACATGATCACTAGTTTTATCTTACATAGAGAATAGTTGATTTCTCATAAATACCCTACTTTATTTTCTGGTTATCTATAAATTTTAATTTTGATCGACTAGTGTTTAACTTTTGATAGGTGGCTATAATCAACAAATTCCTACCACACCCGTCCTAGTTGGAGTTGAAATGGGTATGACATTGGTGGGTAGTGTGTGAGCGGTGGATTCGAAGTTATACTCGCTCATGTCCACCCACCCACTCGCCACTATGAATTCACAATTATCTTATAATTAAGTAAAAATACTCTCAAGTGTATATACGAGGGTAATAAGTGGGTTATATAAAATATTGAAAAATGTACTTTATTTACATTTATGCCATTAGAGAAACATCTCATGTTTCTCAATTGAGAAACTAGAGATCCCTCGTGATTATCGGGTGATGGAGTGAGGTTATCTTGGATAAAATTGTTTATGATTTGTTGCAAATATTTGAAATTAATTGAATTTATTTTTTTTCCTTTTTCAAATCTTATACTCATATGATATTTGGAATTTTATGTAATTTATATAGGAAATATGGTATGATTAAAGAAAGTCATTTGCATCTCATATTAGAGGCAAATGTGCATCCTCATGCAAGGATGTGTTAAGCATTATTTCTCCTTTTGAAGAATGCTAAACATGATTGAGGTTATATAATCCCTAAAACTAAGTTGGGTCACTGGCTTCAGATAGAATTTTTTTTGTTGTAATAATGACAAATACAACTATGACTTACAAATGAGGATGATGACACCTACATCCATCTTCTTTTGAAAAGTTTAGTTGGAGTCTCTCTGATGAAAGTGATTTTACTTTTGTTTGTATGAAAAGGGGAGTAGTTATTCAATCCTTGCACCCCAAGCACAAGTCAAGCTATATTTCTACCAATCTACCCCTGTAACAAATAACCTAAAGAATTGACACTTACGCCAGAGATTGACCATTTGAGAACTAGACTTCATATTACCCTAATATGATTTCCGCACACAATTTCGGAAAGGATCTTCAAACTTCGTCCCACTGTTAGCGAGGGGTTGCTTCCAATACCTCCTTTATGCATCTACAAGATATAAGCGTGGTAGATGAGTTACTTTAAGCAAAAAATCTAATTTCTAAGAAGGATGCATCTTTATCAAAGATCAACTTCAAACAATATAAAGAAGATTATGAATTCAATATAGCTATAAGTCTATAATATTGAGTACAAGGGCCTCCATACTACTAAAAAAAATTGAATTGATATCGAAGTTCCTTCTTTCATAGAAGCATATATACAAAATTTCAAAGTCTTTTTCTAATGCAAGATAGTAACCTTGGTAGATCCTAGATTTTCATTTATGCTAAGCACTACACAATGAATTATTCATAAATACTTTGATCATGGTTTGAACAAAAGTAAGGGATCAAAGAGGAAGTTCATACAACTAAACATGTGATTAATCAAATAAAAAAATTCCTAGTAATAATGAAATAATAATGTTAGAAAGATAGAATCACCATTTGTGCCTTAATGTTAGTTACATCCGCCAATGCAACAACTTATGGATTTATAGCAGTAGAATAGTAATTAATCTTTCACATCGTTAGTTGTTTAAAATAGCTAGGATTAATATCGTTACCAAATCTTATTGGATTTAATTTTTAGGTTTGGAAACCGATCTCAAATTCTTAATGAATTGTGTGAAGCCTTAACAAGTTTATTTGGAATTAGGCCAAGTATTCAAGTTTTAGCTTAACTATACCCATTCCATTAATAATATTGCATTATTTAAGTTTTTTGTTTGTTTATAACTAGAATTATTTATTTAATATCTAATTAGAAAATTTTCAAAAACTCAATAATTGAAAATTTTCTGATTAGATATTAAAGGATGCTTAATATTCAACATGTTTAATATTTTGAACGTGAAAATTATTAATTTATTACTTCATATGTAACACATAGTCTTTTGGACAAATTTGTGACTAATACTTTTATTATCTAACACTACATTTTTTAATTTAACAGTATCTACACCATGATATGGACGTCAATACAAAAGTGGAAAAAAAAACTTGAAATAAAGGTAAAATTAGTCTATGCTTTAGTATTCAGAATATTGGATTCGAACATCAAATTAGATATCCAATATTTGATATGTGAATATCGTAGATAAACCTTGAATCATATCAATGGTCAAAATATTTTATGAATGTTTTAAATATCGGATATGGACACTGGATATCTAAATCCGATAGAATTTAAGATAATTTTCACATCGAATTAGATATCCAAATCGTATTGGATTTCTCATATTTTGGGTATATGAAAATACTAATATCGTATCGTATTTGATATCCAATTCCCCCTCCCCCTTTTTTTTGATTGGAGGCGAATCCATGATATTTGAAATTTATGTAATTTATCTTTGATGGGTGATAACTGATAAGCGAACTCAATTATTATAATTTTTTTCTTGATTTCTTTCCTTATGGAGTGATCTTATTCACATTTCCTAACAATATAAATTTAATGCAGTTAACTCATAATTATTGTAATTACACAAAAGTATATCACAATTATTGCTTAATTATATACCATTATGGAGAAGTGAGATGATATCATATTTATGACCATAGAGAAATCCGTCCAATAATTTTGGTAATTTCACGTTTTTTATGCTGAACAAACATACTTATATGAAATTGAATGAGGTATAAGAACACAACTCTCAATGTTAACCATTAGGTCAAGACCTCAATAAATCGTCGGTATTGACGAGAGTATATTATAATTATACTCTCTTCGTCTCATAATACAATGTCTCTTTGTGTTTTTACATGGAAATTAAGAAAGTTGTAAATTACTCAAAACTAATGATTAGAAGTACATATGTGCATGTGGGGTTAGAGAGATAGAGTGGAAGAAAAAGTAGTTGGGAATAATTGAAAAGATAAAGAGAAAATGTTGGAAATTGATGTTAAAAATACTAAAAAGAAAAGAAAAAAAGAAAACAACTCATAAAAAATATGATGGTAATAATGTCAAAAAGTAATACCAATAAATTGAAAGAGGCATCGTATTTAAGTTTACTCAAAAAGGAAAAGAGACACTGTATTATGAGACGAAATACTAATTTTTTTTTTTTTTTTTTTGAACAAAAGGGAGTACTAATCTAATGGTGCATTATGGAAACATATTGAGTTGTATTTTGGCCATAATTATTAAAATAATAATGTGCCGTTTCCTGAAAATAATGATAATTATCCTATAAAAAAAAATAATGATAATTATGAATGCTTTATTCACTTCAAAAACATTGTTAATTATAAACACCAAAATAAACCACTTTCTTTCACTTTCTCTCTCCTCCCTTGTTCTACTCCAAATTTGCAGACACTCTCTTTTCTCTCTTCTGTGTTTAAGGGTATTTGTGCTTTCTTTTGCGCCATATCAAAGCAAACTCTTCTACAAAAACCCTTTTTAATTTTCTACATAAAATTAATTTGGGTACCCAAAAACCTATTTGATTCTCTCAAAAATAACCCAAAAAAATACAAAAATAAAAAATAAATAATAATGGAAGAAAGTGGTAACATAGCAAACAATGTAGCTCAAGCCATAACAGCTGCTCTTGATTGGAGTTCTACCCCAGATACTCGCAGGGCTGCATTTGCTTACTTAGAATCTGTATTATCTCTTAACTTTGCTTTTTGAGTTGTCAAATTTGTTTTTTTTTTTTTTTTTGAATTTTTAATTATGTTTATGATCGAATTGTTGAATTTTGAATGTATGAACTGTTAGTTTTGATACCCATTGTTGTATATTGTAATTACCCATTTCAGTTTTCTTGGTGTGTTTGAGTGTCTTGATGAAATTGAATAAAGTTTGGTTATTTGATCAAATTTGTGGAACCCCTATTGTGCATTTTATGGGTATCATTCTAGCCCTAATTTGAGACTTTGATGGTTGAAGTTATGGTAGCTGATTGATAATTTAAGCATACTTTAAAATAAAAAATAAAAAAAAAGAATTTGGAGTATGCACTATATAAATGAATTAATGATTTCACTTAATATGGATTCAGAGATATTGAAACAAAGTTGTGGGTGGTATATTTTCTAGTTTTTGTTACAATCCTTCTTTGATGCTTAAATTTTGGTTTAAACCTTCAAACTGATGATATATGTGATGCATCATGTATAATTTATATTGCTTGGATCGAACTTCTATTTCGTGGAAAATTTGGAAGTCTCTGTAATGTTCCTTGTCCTTTTTTCGTGGAAAATTTTGCATATGCTAAAATTATATGACAATTTCTTTGAACTGTGGATTCGTCTTACTCTCTTGTAAGGATAAGATTAAATGTCTGTCCTCAATTGACCTCTTTTTAATATGTGCTGCTTGCTATTTTTGGAATTCTTTTCCTTGGTTGTGTAATAGACATGAACTGTTTCAATTTTTGCAGTTTAAAGCAGGGGATGTACGTATCTTGGCTAGTACGTCCATCATTTTAGTTAAGAAGGAGTGGTCTTCCGAAATACGGCTGCAGGCGTTCAAAATGCTTCAGGTTGTTGTTAGATTCTTTTCCACCTGTTTTTGTCTAGTTTATTTAATTTTAATCATCTCCTTCAGTTACGTCAACTTTGCAGTAGATGGAAGTCATTGTACAATGCTTACCTCCTTTAAGATCAATACTGTAGTGACATTAATTGTAGATGAATACAAAACCAAAGTTTGTCAATTGATTTTTTTCAAAACTTGTTGTATGTACCAAATGGTTATTCAACCTTATGCTAAAATTCGTAATACTACTCAAGCGTAATCTATAAGCTGGTATTGGCATCTTCAGCAGAGGGGGGAGCATTGAATTTTAAATGTTGATCTTGGAAAATAATAAGTCCAAATGATATGCTTACATCTATTCATCATGATGATAGTTTCTTCCTCATAATATCAGAGATACATGCAGGATTGTGGAAAGCACCACACCTATATATTATCAGCTTGTCTTCGAGAACAAAAGTCGTCATAATACATATATTGGAATATTGTTGCTGGCTTCACAATTTTGGTGATTACTTTTTGTGTAGCTAACTCAATAAGAAGTTTTTCTTTTATTTGGATTGGACAACTATAAATATATAAAGCAAATTAAGTCACCCTGTTAAAGAGATTAGCGACGTGGCCATAGTTTTGAACCTTTTGGTCTTTCTCTGTTCAGGGAAAAGAAGACATCTTTGCAATATCATGTACAGCATTGGATAAAGATATTATTCATAATATAGCATAAATAAGGAATAGCTGGTCCTGATGTCAAAGGTTTTCAGCTCATTGGGTTTGTAAATCTAGCTGGTCAGATATGGGATTAAAAAAAAAAGGCTGGAGTAGAACCTGATTGAGTTTCATTAATGATATGCAATTCATTACTTAGTCTAGAAATAAAGTAAGACTTTTATTTTTATACCTTATTTGTAGTTAACTAGTTACTCCGTAACATCCTATTAGAAGTCATGTCTAGGATAACATCCAATGATCCTGAAACTTGGCCTAAAGATATAACAACGAATTAACAGGTTTTCCAATATTCATTTCTGTATTTACCTAATGGGAAACCAATCTGGCTATTCTACTTTATGTTGCTGTATAGGTTGAAATATGAAGCTTATAATTAAACTTCCTGATCTGTCATATAAAGGATCTAACATGAATCTGGTAATGTGATTGATTGAATGGTATTAAGATAAGTTGAGATTTCAATAGCCTATATATTTTTGCTTGTTCCTACTGGCACCATACAAAAGAATATGTCAGTGAATAGGATGCAGTCACGGGATTTAAATGGTTACAGCTTACTCCTCTATCCTCTAATAGCTCTCAGAGTTCCCTTATTTTTGAATGCCCCTTTGTGCTTTTTTAAGTTTTTGTAGACTGGCTCTCTTGATAAGCCAGATTCAGTAAATGGATATTGGAAATTTTCCTTTTTGTTTTTATTTATTACATGCTAATAGCATTGGGGGGATACTGTATTGGTGTGCTTTCAGCAGTAGGAAATTTGATCATTTGTATTATGAAGATTGTATTCAACTTAACATGCTTAAGGTAGAAGTTGTTGACGCTAAATTTGGTGCAAGGGCTTATCAGTTGCAAGTTTTAAATAGAAGTTGATTTGTTGTTGTACTTCTGTTGCTAAGGGGCTTTCACTTTTGTTCATCTTATATGTGATTCTTGACCTTCCGAAAGATTTGACAGCCTAATCTTCTTTAAATCAAGTTTCCAAATACCAACGCGTATATGAACTTGATCTGATTTTGTTTGATGATCTGTAGCATCTGGTAAGGCTACGTTGGGAAGAATTGAATCCAATGGAACGTCGCAACTTTGCAAGCATCGCTGTTGACCTGATGTCTCAGGTTGCGGATCCATGCGAGGAGTGGGCTTTAAAAAGTCAGACAGCTGCTCTTGTGGCAGAGGTTTCAACTGAACTTTCTTTGATTTGTATTTGGTGCAGTCTGACTTGAGTGTAGTTGACTTATCCCATTTTCCATTTACAGATAGTAAGGAGAGAAGGCCCAAATATGTTGCAGGAGTTATTCCCCTCGGTTGCAGCCCTCTCTAACAGTGGCCCTTCTCAAGTGATTCTCCTGATAACTTTTGTCGTTTTTTAGCTCTTGTTTTAAATTTGGTTTTTTGTTCCTCACTCTTTCCTTTGTGAATAAAATTAGCGGTATGCACTAGTTATTAATTTATTTAATGTGTTTATAGGCCGAATTGGTGTCAATGATGCTAAGGTGGCTTCCTGAAGATATTACTGTTCATAATGAAGATTTAGAAGGTAATGACGGAGAAGCTCAATTTCTTTCCATTCATTCACTTCACCTGGGAACTACTTCTTTGTCAAATTTTAATATTGCTGATGGGTTAAGTTGGGCTGTGTTGGGGGGGGGGTGTGTGGTTACTCTGAAGTTAGATTCATGAATTCTGTCAAATAAGCAAATTGAAGTTGTTTGTGAATTAAATGATTAAGCAATATCTTCTGTTTCTTTTGGTATGTGAGCTACCAAAATCATCATGTCATATAGTATAGTTGTTTCTTTATTTGAAGTATTGGGTATTAATCATGCTTAATTCTTCTCATATATTGGAGCTTTTTTGCAGAATGTAAATTTAACTTGTACTTTTTTTTTCTTACTTGTTTTTGGACCAAAAATCAATAGGTGACCGGCGTAGGCTTTTGTTACGTGGATTGACTGAATCTCTGCCAGAAATCTTACCTTTGCTATACACAGTAAGTTTAATAAAAAGAATTAAGAAGTATACAACTTTTTTCTAGGGTCAAAGTACATAAGCATCACTTTGCAAGTTCCTCATTTTTATGATACTTGTGCAGTTGCTAGAGAGGCACTTTGGAGCTGCAGTAAATGAGGCTAATCAGCAGCATCTAGACATTGCAAAACAGCATGCAGCTACAGTTACAGCAACTTTGAATGCAATAAATGCTTATGCTGAGTGGGCTCCGTTGCCCGATCTTGCCAAATATGCCATAATCTACGGGTAAAGTAACTGAAGTTTTTCTTAACTAGCTTTGGCTGAGATTGATACCTTTTTCTTCTTACAAATTGTGTACTACAGGTGTGGCTGCTTGCTTACTTCTCCAGATTTTCGCCTTCATGCTTGTGAGTTCTTCAAACTTGTCTCTGCAAGGTATGCAGTGAGCTCCTTAATCGCTTTTAGGGCTAATCTATAATGTCACTAGGGTATCAATTGAATGTTAATAAGTCTGTGAATTGCAGGAAGAGACCAGCTGATGCACCTCCGGATTTTGATTCTGCAGTGCGCAGTATCTTTGAGACTATGATGAATGTTTCCAAAGATTTCCTTCACAAATCAAGCTTGGGTAGTGGGGCCGTTGATGACAGTGAATTTGAGTTTGCAGAGTTAATATGCGAGTGCATGGTTTCTCTGGGTTCAACAAATCTGATGTGCATCTCTAGCGATACAAAGACTAACATACTTTTTTTTTTTCTTCAACAGGTGAGCTGCTCTCTTGCTTGCCTAAGTTATAAGCTCCATATTTATTTTTGGGAAACAAAATTTATAATGCTTAAAAGTAATGGACAAATATGGTCAAATCTCCTTTGACTTTAAAAGTAATCAGGGGCTCAGCAGCTACATTCATATAGCCAGACTTTTTTTAGTCAAACAATTAGACTGTGTTAGTAAAATATATTAGTATCACAAGTATGATATTGGTATGAAGGGTAAAAATCCATCATACCCAGCAAGAAACCACACTAGAAAGAAAAAGAAAATGATAGTACTATGTTGCTGGTGCCTTATTCAATTTGTAAAAGCAGTTACTTGAATTGAAAGTGTCCCCAATATAATTATTATGTATTGCCTTTTTTATCTGTATATATTGAGACTTCATCCTGCTCTCTATAGGCACAAAAAACCTTGAGCCAGCTCTTTGATTTTTTTTATAAAAAATCTAATACTCCGATTTTATCTAATAATTTTTATTATATGATTTTTGAATTTGTTGCAATATATGTAAAGTATGTCAAAAAAAAAAAGAATCATGTTTTAGAAGTTGATGTTCTCCAAAGAGGATGATAAACAAGGGGAATTTAAAAACTGCATAAGAAACGAACAAAATTTGATTTATACATAATATATTGTTGCTTATCCATCATAGAGCATCATGATCTTTTGTAGTCATGTATTTTATATACTTGATACTTCTACTGTTTAATAGTTGATGCTTACATCAGACATTTTTATCTCTGCAGATGCTGGGGTACTTCCAACATTATAAGCTGGCCCTCCATTGTCAGTCACTGCCTTTCTGGCTGGTATGCTTAAAACTCGACCTCATCGTGTAATTTTCATTTTAGATCTTCACTCACCAAAAATCATGCTTCCTTCTATCTGGTAGGCATTAATGAGAGATCTACTGTCAAAGCCAAAAGCTCATGCAACTGGAGATGGTGCAGTAAACAGTTCTGCTGGCTCTGGACAGGCTGAAAGTGAGAAGAATAATATCTTAAATTTGATCAATGATGATTGCTGTGGTGCAATTCTAGACACATCCTTCCCACGTCTTCTTAGAAAAGAAAAGGTTCATCCCGAGACAGCACATTCTTTTGGACCTTTGGAAATGTGGAGTGATGATTTTGAGGGCAAAGGAGAATTTGGACAGTACCGTTCTAAGCTGGTATGTAATATGAAGCCTCATCTTTTTCCTTGATGATAAGTGTCTAATATCTTTTTTTGTTGAAAATTAATGATTGCCTTTTTATTTTTTTTACTCGTAGCATGTAGAGGAAACGGGTTCACTAGTTATCTGGAAGGCAGAACTGCTTTAGTTTTGCTTTTGAATTATATCTTCACAAAAGTTGATGTCATATATCCCTGGATCAAGGTATGAGCTTAGGGATATTAAAGTAATTGTAACAGAAACACAAATTCTTGAGACAATACTGTGAATAATTTGAAAGCATTTCGTTCCAATCATATGCTCTATCATTAACAAAGTTGTGTCATCTCTTATATGCGTATTTAGCCTTGGTGAATATATTACAAAATACACATTCTAAAAAACAATACTGTGAAATCTAATCCATAAAATTTTAGTTATTATTGGAAAATTATGCTGGATAGATAAATCTAACCCATAAGGCTGTGACAAGGAGCAGTGACTGAAAAAACAGAAATCTTTGATGAATAAAATATCACACCTCACCACAGGGCCTAGGATAGCTAACAGATTTTTATGGGAAGAAACTCCCAAAATCTCTGAATAACTTACGGTCTAAGAGCAAAAAAAAAACAAAGAGCTGTTGATGAGCATTGTTGTACATCTATATCAGCACGTAATGGGATTTCTTAATGTAAGCTATTTTATAATATATAGGCAAGCAGATGAAAAATTGTCTCTTGAGTTTCTCTCTTTTAATCCCAAATTTTGTTGACTGTAACATAATCCTCGTAGCTAGTGGCATCTATGAAATCGTCCGGTAGGAGCAGATTGCCCATGTAGCTCCTTATACTTGCATGTAACCTGAGCCACTTCATCACTATTGATAATCAAGAAATTTTAATTCTCCATGGGTTGTTGTCTTTACAAATCTGAAGTATGCGCGGAATTTTCAGCCTAATAAAAGAAGTGGTCAAGTTTGATGGGTGGGTATGTCTCACTGTTTGCTGTCTGCACTCACACCGACATTGTGGTATACGAGATAATGAAATAAAGCTGGAAACAGTGGTGGATTAAAAAATCTGAGACTGAATGACATTGGTATCTTTTAGCTCTATCTTGTTGAGATGTCCCTCAACTCAACAGTCATAGAGGTGTCCTTTACAGTATTATTAGGAGCTTTATCTTTACATATTTAAGTTAATGTAAAATAATAGAAGCATTTTACTCACTCAATTACTCTGTACATCCTAGTAGCATTTTGAGCCATGACACACACATGACCAAAATATGTATACACTAGAACCACTACTTTCTGGAAACTGTAATCTGAATTAAAGTTAACATGGGCCTTCTGTTTATTAAGGTTGCAACATGCAAGTTGATGGAGCGGTTCACTTATAATCTATGTTTCTTGTCTGTGGTTCATATTGCCCATTCAATCTTTTTGCAATTTCCTTTCTTCTGAATGACACCTTACCATTTGTCAGATGGAGCTAATACGGCTTGTTTCAAACCACAAGCCTATAGTTGCTGCTACAAGGGTGTCTGAGAGAACAATCATGATTATTCAGAGCTTAGTATCCTCTTCAGTGCCAACTCAGGTAGGTTGATATGTTTATATATATAACATTCTCCAAAATTTCATTTCTTAGTTGATTTTACTCATGGACAGTATCCTTGTATAGTATTCTTCTCTTTCTGACAAATGCATCTTCTATAGAAAGAAAACTTGGAGGAGCATTGTAGAACATGTGTCATAGTGTCTTTACAATAAGTATATTTAAAAATATTTTGCTGACTTTTCTTATTTCAGGATTTAGTCATACTGGAGAGCATGCAATTGGCTTTGGAAAACGTTGTTGTTGCGGTTTTTGGTGGGTCAGATGAATTTGCTAGTGGTAGCTCGGAAATTCAACTTGCATTGTGTAGGATATTTGAAGGTTATACTTCAACTCTTCAAATATTTACAGTTAATGCAATTTTAATCCTGCAATTTTTTTTCTAAAATTATCTAATTTTTGTAAATTAAAGGTCTCCTGCAGCAGCTGCTTACCTTACAGTGGACTGAACCTTCGTTTGTGGAAGTCCTTGGCCACTATATGCACTCATTGGGTCCATTTTTGAAAGTATACCCTAATGCAGCTGGTCCTGTAGTTAATAAGCTTTTTGAGCTTTTGACTTCCCTTCCTGTTATTGTTAAGGTTTTTCCTTTATCTTTTGGCTCCAACTATTGTGCTGGATTATTTTATATTCGGATTTTTTTTTTTTTTTTTTTAAATCTGGTAAGTGTTTTATAAATTTTGCAGGATCCTTCTACAAACAGTTCCCGACATGCTAGGCTGCAGATCTGTACATCTTTCATCCGAATTGCCAAAGTTGCTGACAAAAGTTTGCTGCCTCACATGAAGGTGATTCTTGGCCTGCTTTCTTTTTCAAATTAGGGACAGAGGAAATTTGGATTGGAAGTGAACCTCCCTAGAAAATTAGGCTTTATTCTCTTCACCTTAATCTTATTACTTACTCCATATTACTTATTCTAAATCAAACCACATCAGAAAATTTCAGACAAGATCAGATTATATCTTCTTAATACTGTTTTGATTTTGTAATTGTAAAAATAATGAAATTTATATATTTGGAAAAATACACGTTGAGATGAATCTAACAAGATTTCACTTGATAATGTTTTTTCTTATACATCGATGTACAATCAAGGTCAAAGTTTAGTTAGATTAAACCAGATCAAATCAGAAAAAATAAGACCAGACCAGACCAGACTTTAGAAAATTCAGACCAAAACTCCTTATTTCAGGCTGAGAGAACAAAGCCTTGATCATGTTGGGTTTTGATGACACTGCATTCCTTGTAAGACCCCACTTTTTTGTTCGGATTTGGTTTAGGTTACTGCTAAAATACATGTGTATTCTTCGTATTTCCTAATGGATTTTGTAATTACATTTTTCCTACATTATTTTTTTTGGCAGTAACTATAATTCTTCAAGCATGCTATTTTTTTTTGGCAGTAACTATAACTCTTCAAGCATGCTACTCTTCAAGCATGCTTTTCCCAGTGATTTTTTCAAGTGTATTATAGTTTATAATCATTTGTCAATCGGGAGGCAAACATCTTTGTAAGTCTTAGAAAATATATGCTGTATTTGAACAAGATAGATATTGCTTTCTTACAGGGGATAGCAGACATGATGGGACAGTTGCAAAATGAGGGACGTCTGCTTCGTGGAGAACATAATCTTCTTGGTGAAGCATTTCTTATTATGGCTTCTGCTGCTGGGTAATTACTTCATCTGCATTTAACTTAATATATGAAGTTGTTGTGTAATTTTCTGTATTGATGTGTAAAGTATTATATTTGCTACAGTGTTCAACAGCAGCAAGAAGTTTTAGCTTGGTTACTTGAACCTTTGAGTAAACAGTGGATCCAGCAAGATTGGCAAAATGCTTATTTGTCTGATCCATCTGGTTTTGTTCGTTTGTGTGCGGATACACCATTAATGTGGTCCATTTTCCATACGGTAACTTTCTTTGAGAGGGCACTTAAGAGATCTGGAATCCGGAAGAATAATTTGCAGAATATCTCAGCAGGAACACCTGTGCAACCAATGGCTCCTCATTTGACATGGATGTTGCCGCCTCTTCTAAAAGTATGTACTCCCACATGATTTGAACTCAAGTGGATCTTCATGTATTCATTTTTCTGTAAATATTAAATTGTGGCCTCATAAAATAAAAAAAAAAAAAAATAAATAAATAAAAACTGCTCCCTTTCACAAATAATAATCCATTGCTATTTGGGGGGCTTTAGAAAAAGATTGAAAAATATTTGAAATAGTAATTGCAGACAGTTACTGTGCAACAGTATTTTGTAAGTTGTGTCTAGTTCTTAAGAATCTAATTCAGGGGTTGAGAATTATATTTATTCATGTATTGCATCTGTTTTTTTTTTTTTTTTTTTTTTTTTAATTTTTATTTTTATTTTTATAATCTACATGATCTAATTAATGCATGGAAATTTTGTCTTGCTGCAGCTTCTCCGTGCTATGCATTCACTTTGGTCTCCTGCCGTTGTCCAATCATTACCAGGAGAAGTGAAAGCTGCACTTACCATGAGTGATATAGAACGTATTAGTCTTCTTGGAGAAGTGAACACAAAAGCACAAAAAGCTCCTTTGGGCTTTGCTGATGGATCATTGACAGATATGAGCAAGGATTCCTATGGAGAGCCAAATGAAAAAGACATACGTAATTGGTTAAGAGGTATCAGAGACAGTGGGTATGTTTGCACACTGAAGTTTATGCATAATCTTTAATTTTGGGGTTTTTCCTAGGTGACCCTGTTTTGTTACTGCATTTTCTAAGCATCGTCCTCATTGTTTACTAATCAGTGATAGAGGCGTTTTTTACTTCATCGAAACAGAAAATGCCCACTCATATGTACCCTCTCTGTCCGTTTTTGTTTGTCCCATTGGGATTTTGTTAGTTATTTTATTTTTGGCTGAGTGGAGACGTGGAGTTGATGAGAGATAAAAATGGTGGGACTTAATGTAGTGGATGAATGTGAGAATGAAGTTGTGGTCCCTCACAGCTATTCATAGTATGTGGCACACTCAAAGGGACAAACTAAAAAGGAAACTAGGGCAAACTATAAGGGACGGAGGGAGTATTAAATAAGGAAAGGATGTCTATATACTCTCTGCCGTCATTTTCAGGAGACTTTGATGTTGTTATCACTAACCATGCTATATAGTCATTTGACATCATGGAGAAAGTCAACTTTTGTTTAAACTTAAAACCAGGGAAACTATTATTATTGGGTATGTATTGTAGTAGATTTTACTTGGAGTCCAATGTGCATATACTGCATACATATTTGTCTATTTGATATACCCAATCAATATTCTTCCAACGTTATCAACTTTCACATGCATACATTTCATGATTTTGAAGTTATTCCTAACCTATAACCCTTGCCATCTTTAGGTATGATGTTGTGGGCTTATCTACTACTGTAGGAGATGCTTTTTTCAGAAGTTTGGATGTCGATTCCGTGGTTCAAGCTCTGATGGAGAATCTGCAGTCAATGGAATACAGGCATTTGAAGCAGCTCATTCATTTGGTCATCATCCCTTTAATCAAGTCTTGCCCTCCGGAGTTATGGGGGACATGGCTGGAAAAACTTCTACACCCAATACTTCATTATGCTCAGCCATCTCTGAGCTCCTCATGGTCAAGTCTTTTAAATGAAGGTAGGGCAAAGGTTCCAGATGTTTGCAATGTACTTGGAGGATCAGATCTGAAAGTAGAAGTAATGGAGGAGAAGCTGCTTCGTGATGTAACTCGTGAAGTATGTGGGCTATTGTCAGCGTTGGCTTCTCCTGCACTTAATGTTGGTCTTCCTTCTTTGGATCATTCAGGCCATATTACTCGTTTCGATACTTCCTCTTTGAAGGATTTAGATGTATTAGCCTCCTCTTCCGCTGTTAGGTATGCAATATTTTAATTTTTGTACAATATCAGTAATATATTGCTCAATGAAATGGAACTATAGTATATATGCAATATTTGTATTTGTCTCAATGCTTCTAGTCAATGATTGGAAGCGTTATTGGGCACCTAATAAAATGTTATAATTGTTCTCAGCTCCACAGAGTTCACAACTTAAGGCTCTTTACTTCTTATTATTTTGACATGCCTCTCATCTTTTGTTACATGCAGTTTTCTATTGAAGCACCAAACCTTAGCCGTCCCAGGCCTGCATTTATGTCTGGATGCTTTTAAATGGACAGATAGTGAAGCTATGGCAAAACTTTGTTCATTCTGTGGTGTTATTGTTGTTTTGTGTATTTCAACAAATAATGGGGAACTTCGAGATTTTGTTTCCAAAGACTTGTTCTATGCAGCTATCCAAGGTTTGGCCCTTGAATCAAATGCTTTCGTAAGCTCGGATCTGGTTAGTCTATGTCGTGAGATTTATTTCTATCTAGCAGATAGAAACCCCGCGCCTAGGCAGGTGGGTTGAGATCATAAATAATTCTCTGGTGCTTTGGTGAAGTAATTTAATTTAAAAACACCTGCCTTAATACCAACAAACTTTGTTGATCTCTCTCTCTCTCTCTGGCTTTCTTCAGATTTTGTCGACGCTTCCTTGCATTAACCCTCAAGATTTAGCTGCTTTTGAGGAAGCTTTGGCCAAGACAGCAAGCCCCAAGGAGCAAAAACAGCATATGAAAAACTTGCTTTTACTGGGAACTGGAAACAAGTTAAAAGCACTTGGTGCTCAAAAGAGTGTCAATGTTATCACAAACGTGACAGGTAATTCGGTGCTTCCCATTCCCTCTCCTCTTATCCCCCACCCCCCTGCTTTGTGCTCGCCTTTATTCATATTCAATTGGACCATCTCTTTGAAGTTAGAAAAATAGAAAAGAAGGGGAAGAAAGGATCCACGGAGTAACCTTATGATTTTGCACAGATGTGCCCGTATTGGCTGTATGTAAAGGGCTTGCTGTCTATTCAAGATGACAAGGTCAAACATAGCAGATACTTTATTACAAATGTGGGGTATAATTCGTAGTTTTAGCCTGCATGAGATATTGTTTAGGTGCACTTGGGGTTTATACATAAGAAAATTGATTGAAATCCACCTCCTACCATGAAATATTATCATTAGTTATATCTTCACTTAAGGGAATTATTTGAATTTAACAACCAAGGGGAGATCAAAACTTAAGGAGGAGGAGGGGGGGGGGGGGGGGTGGGGTGTAATGCGAAACTTAGGGGCATTTTTGGTTGACTGGATACAAAGTAAAATTGAACGGCGGATTAATTAATTTAGTGACAGGTTTTCAGAATAGACTCCTCACTTGTGTGGTTTTCAGAAAATCTTTGTGCATAAGTGCTATTATAAATTTTAATTTGTATTGCAATGAACTTGTTTTCTCTGAGAAACCCATATTGTCAGTTGAAGTGATTATCTGCTTAAAACTATTTTTCAGTGAGATCTCGGGCAGCCAGTAGCACTTTCGATACCAGTACTGAAGATGGGGATGCTATAGGACTGGCCGCAATCATGTGAGTGCTAGTTATAAATTATTATCCCTGTACAGAAGAACTTCATCCGTTTAAGTCAGAATTTACAGAATACAGTATAGAGAAGTCGAGTTTTGAGCACATGTTGGGGCATCATATATCATCTTTTTTGACATCAGAAGGCACATACTGTAGGCTCTGATGTGAATTCTTGCGACATCTAAACCCTGCTTGTGCAATCTTCTATAACTGTTCATCTTGATGATCAGTTTTAAACGGACCTTATTATCACATTTTTTACCTCACAGTAGAGTTTTGATGTATGTTGTAATTTCATAGTACATAAAGTCTTTTGAGCTTATTCCTTAGAAAGAGTATAAGTGTAGGCTAACTTAATTTAGGTTTTTGAACAAGGGATTGGATAATTGGCATCTGAGCTTAGAACTGTCCTAGCGTAGTGTAATTGCAGGGCCTTATTTTGTTTATTTTATCATATGTAAAGTTGATAATTTGAATTATCTCGAGTATTTAACCTTCATGGTGTGGTCTGTTTTACGGTCATAGGTATTGTCGATGAAAATATGTGGAGGGAAGGCTTGTAATTAGAGAGAGCATGTTTGGTGCAAAGATTTTTAGGGATGGAAATGGGATGGGTTAGATACTTAGATATAATAGTAAATGAAATACTACTTGTCAATTTGATTTGAGGACGGAAAATTGTATTTTTAGAATGTTAGAAATTCTAAAAATTTAGAATTTCTGAACTTTTAGAGGTTTAGGCAATCTAATATATGAAATCTATATTTATAATATGTCGCCTTAAATTTTTTTAGGGTAAGAAGAATAAGTACTAGGAATCTCTCTTCATTAAACATTAATTTGCCACGCCTCACCCTCATAAAATGGAATTATGTACTCATGATCCCCCAATTGATTATGTGATGATTTTTATAGTCTATAATTACATTGTAATATACAAATGGTAAATGGTTGAGGTTACAATCTTGAGATTGTTATCCATACAATAATTTGACTTCATAAACCTATCTTTCAATTACACCCCTTTCAATACTAGTGACTTTACCTAATATCACTGTTATGAATTTGTTCATTACTTGGCACATTGCCTCCCACCATACATCATAATAATTACAATATAATAAACAATCAATCAAAGTCTTAATCTCATAAATGGAGTCAGCTATATGAACCAAAAGAGTATTACGAATACACGAAAACCAAGGAACATCTAAAAAAAATTTAAAATTCGGCTTGTAAAACCGTCCTTCCAAAAAATTATTTGAATTCTAACATACTAACATGCATTTCTTTGTGTCACCGCTTCATATGGTGGTAAGTCATATTGTTAGAATCCGACTCCTTTTGATGTATTAGATGCCTTTTAGAGGCTTTCCTAGAGTTTACTTTATATTTTCTAGGCCTGAGATCCCATTATTGTGTTACTGTCAGTGCAGTGTTCACTAGGTATTCTCCTTGTAATCAAATTAACGCTCTTTAGAGGGCGAATGATGAATGAAATCTTAAAGCCTTCTACCAAGTGTTGCCTTGAATTTATGTTTGTTTGTTGTTAGACCTTTATAGATATTGTGTCTTACTTGCATAATAACTCTCCTCCACACTAACTTGATGCACTAAGAACTCGTGGTTCAGACCCGCTTGTGCCCGCCTTGAAGTATCGGCCGTCACAAGCCCCGACCACTCGCACTCCGTCGCCCAAATAGATGTGAGGTGCTCTTGTGATTCAATTGCCCGCTTGTGTTGATTCGTGCTCACAAGCCCCTCTTTCGCACAAGGCTAACGTTCTTGTAGCCAAAAGGCTAGAGCGCGTCGCACGTTTCGGGGCCTAAACTCCCGGACCATGACACATATTCATTGTCACATCACTTAAAAACTCTTGCTAAAAAACTAGTTTCTTATACTACGTATGAATGAAGATTGGATGTGTCTACAAAGATCTTGCTAACCATTACACTTACAAAAGTTACAATGAAAAAATGGGTATATCCTTTTTTCTTTTTTTTTTTGATAAGAAAGTATATCCTTAATTAAATGAGCTGAAACCCAACAAAGTCTATCCTAACGTGTTAGTAGGCCTCCTAAATTATTTATTCGTAAGGAGTAAGATTGAACACGTTTACATCCATATCTTATATCTTTTTACTTGAATTAGCTCTACTTTTCTTTTTGGCAAGAAAGCAAAGTACCTTTTTAAAATAATTTATGGTATAAAATAATCAATAGCACAATCAAAAGAGTTCTATTTGGATTGCACCCAAAAAAAAAAATTATTTAAATATATATAATATTTAAATGTACTCGAGTGTATAATAGAAAATTAATTTGTGCTATTTAGATAAATACCTTGTATAAATGTCATGTATGTGATTAATAAGATGTCTTTAATTCAATATTCAAAACAATCATAGCCTTTACTTAGAGTATTTCTTAATTTCTTTTCACTTTTTCCGTTATAAATGTAGATATGACTTTTATCTATTGATTAACATCAACAATAATGAAACTAAGACTTTCTGAAAAAACTAATCATAGAAATCAAAGTTAGTAATTACATATTGGTGCTCATTCTATTAATTCAATCATTAAAAGAAAACATATTAATATGTTTAATTTACTTAGAAATTCTACATCACAGATTTTGATAACATAATGATGAAAGTTTTTGTAACTTGACTTCTCCTTTTAACATTACCTACTAATTTTGATGGCATTTGTTTTCCTAATAAATTGTGATTATAATCGATTCGTTTATAATTTATATGTGTTAAAAGTGCCAAGTAGATGCTCCACATTCTATTATAGATAACTTTGGGTCTTTGATAGGATAACCTAAGCATATGCACTCTAATACTTCCATAAGATGTTTTATACCCTATCAATGATGGCTATTTTATAACACCATAAAACTACCCTGAATTTACTATGTGGTATAATTTACTTCGTATTATTTTATCATGTACCATGACTCCATAAATTGGCTAAAAATACTTTATTATAGGGTAATAAATTGATTTTCTTTGCGTTTATGAGCTTTACTTGACATTTTAATCAACCTACAGTCATAAGTGTCAACTTCCAATCGATTTACATCAACAATAAATCATTGTACATCCCTATAATTGTTATGAGTAGATTATTAATTAATAGTGCAACTATGCAGGTACATCGATCAACAAATTTTACACAACACAAGAAAAAAAAAAAGCGACATATTGAACTACAATACTATAATTATTGTAGATACTCATTAATAAACACTTATTATAGCCACATTTGTATGTTCCTCTCATCATTTACACATTTTAAAACTATTTGACAAATGGGTCCTAAGGGTTGTCCAATTACCCTTGCCCATGCACATTATGCAACAAAAATTCAATCCAAGTTTTTGTTTCTTTGAAGCAAAATTAATTCAGGTCAGTCTCCTAATAATCACTTAATAGACCGTAAATCTTTGCTAAACACTAAAAATGTTAATCTTTCTCGAATTTTTATTTTTATCTTTTGACAGGAATAAATACTTAAAATCACTCTAAATAAAAAAGAAACGTTTGAAAGAACAACATTTAATCAAACCTTGTTATCAATGGTCATTTAATGCTAGTAAGTGCACCCATATTTTCCCCGAAAAAATGCTACCGAGTTGTATTAATTGGTAAATTTTTTCATAAAATGGAGAGTTTTGCAAACAAGGGCGGATCTACGTTCAAGGTCCACTTATTTTTGTAAAAAAATTGTTATTACAAGTATTTGAAACATGAAGAAATAATAAGTTGTTTAACATAAAATTATTTAATATGAGAAAAGTGATATAAAATTATGACCAATCTATCAATAGTTATGTGTGAATATTGTGTAATCTAATATATACCTAGTTTCATGTAATTTGTTAATTTATAAATAATTATAATGTAATTTATTTAATTTTGACTTCACTTTGTACTCCCTCTGTAAAGGTTAAACAACGTAAGGAAATGGTTATTTTAGCTACACTAGAGAATTTGTTGATTTCATCTTGATTCGCAATTTGTACAAGAGAAACAAAGCAGCATCGAACTTAAGGAAATTGTACCCACAGAAAACACATTTTCAATTCCATTAGACATAGCCCTGGCAAAACACACCTTCACCGCCGACAAGTTTTCGAAATGCAATTTTACAGCAGCAATCTCATCCTTAGTTGCATCGTATTCGAAATATAGCAGAATGGGAGTTTCCTTGGGAAGATTAGGCAAGGTAGCCAAGAAATCACGATCGTTGGGATCTACGATCCTAAAATACTTAAAATCTGCCATTGAAGAGAGAGGAAATTAAAGAGAGAATGAATTTAATTTGATTTGATTTTTTTCGGAGGGAATGATTTTATTTTATTTTTAGGATAGAGAAGAGAGAGTGAATGATTTTATTTCACTAATTAAAAACTACTTCAGTTTCCCCGTAATAAGAACCTTTGTATTTGACAAATGGGTCCTAAGTAGACCTGTCAATTTACGACCCGACTCGCAAACCCGATCAGATTACGACACTTTTTTGTGGGTCTTGAATACTATTTTTTTGACACGTAAACTGATCTAACTCGAACTCATTTAATTTGTAAATTTGTGAGTCAAACCTGACCCTAACCCAAACCCATCCCACCCACCCGTTTTTATGGTTTTTTTTTTTTTTTTAAAAATACATTCATTTGAAAATTAATACAAGTATTTAGTTTATTGGTTGAGTTTGATCATTTATTTAGCATCCAACATTCATTTCTCTGTCTCATTTATCCATTTTATATAATTGTTGCTCAGATCCACACTAACAACCTCCTACATCAACTATCGACTCACACCAATTGCATCTGCATAGCTTACATCACCGTTGGCCTGACCTCTTTCTTTAATTTTGTAACGTTTAAAAGCTAGTTGTTTTTTTTTTTTTTTTTAATTTTATTAATTAGAAATTAGTGTGCTTTGGTGACAATTTAAATTATGTAGTAGTCATGTGATGACTAAAAATAATATTGGTGAGAATTTTCGATAAAAACTTGAAAAAAATAGAAAAGTAAGCTTGAAAAATCATAAATATTTAAATATAAGTTAAATAAAAAATTGTTTCAAACCCATTGGGTTGACCCGAACCCGAAACCTTGGGTTAGGGTTGAGCATTTCTCGACCTGTGATCCGAAGTTACCCGACCCAAAATGACACGTGACCCGACCAGAACCCGACTTGACCGACCCAATTGACAGGTCTAGTCCTAAGGGTTGTCCAATTGCCCTTGCCCATGCACATTATGCAACAAAAATTCAATCCAAGTTTTTGTTTTCTTTGAAGCAAAATTAATCCAGGTTAGTCTCCTAATAATCACTTAATAGCCCGTAAGTCATTGTTAAACACTAAAAATGCTAATTTGTCTCATACTTTTTATTTTTATCTTTTGACAGGAATAAATACTTAAAATTATTCTAAAAACAAAAAAAACGCATAAAATAACAACATTTAATCTAACTTTGAG